GTCAACAACCAATAATATACATATTTCTGGTGACTTGAGAGAATGCTGCCCAGAATTCGAGAACAATCCATCCCACCATAAGGGATCTCTCCTACTGCTACCTAACTACTAAGTATAACTTATCCTCCTCTCAGAAACTAAAAATAGAGATCAATCGCATATCTGTCCGCCTGCTCCTCCCTCCCTTGATCCCTAATCTGATTTTCATTGAGAAAATTTATTACGCAACTGATACTAAGAACCTGCTTTCTTTTCTGTTCTTCTCAGTTTTTCCATCTATTTCCTATAAAATCTACTGATAACGGCCACAGCTGACCATTAACAGCTCATCACCAAATCACATACTTAGGCCCACAATCAAACTAAATCTGAACCCTTTGCAAAAAAACAGAGCCCTCAAATAACTCTTAAATAACAACATACTGCTGTAGGTGGTAAAACACACATCAAGATTTCCTAGAAACACACCCTTGGGGGTTTCATTTTATTTAGTCTAATATAATCTCAGAAGGAGAGGCACTAAAACAAGTGGTAAGTGGAAGAGAAGAAAATCACTGCAATTGCTTAAGAGGAGTGGAAGATTTATGTAAGGACTTTGTATGAGAAAATACAGAAGAAAAACAGAGCTTTGAGCTTGACACGTAAGTGTTTGAAAAGCCTGCCAGTCTGACAGGAGAGCAAATACATCCCAACTTTGAACAGGAACATCCTTGAGCACCTAAAATTATTTTCTGAGATGCCTGGGTGAAAGGCTTTTTATGAGGAAATTTAATTCTATCACCACCACAGAACCTATGGGACAAACCTGCAACATAGGTTGCGAAAGTAGTAGGGTGAGGGAGGGGGGTGTTTGGGAGTGAATCCTCAAATGATGAAGTATAACTTCCATATAAAGAAGAACAATGGGTGGGTATCTCTTACAGAAAGGATAATCGAAAGCTCTCCTCTTCAGAGACCCCAACCTAAGACAAGCCAAATGACTAGGAGGAGGATAACCGCTTGGCTAGCTGAACCTAAACAAGAGGAAAGGGCGGGGAAAAAAATAGAAAGAGTAAATCACCGCTGCTATAGCTCCAACAGCAGTCGAGAGGGCTATTGTTCAAGGATCTAGCTGAGCAATCTCCCCCAAGGATCAATACAGAGACGTTAGAAGTGAGTAAGGCATCAAGGAATACCAAAATACCGCTAGTGTAAGGTTGACATCTCAAATGATCAAGCTAGTTGTATGTAAAGGATATAGGTCTGTCATACGAGAAAGATGAGAGACTGTTCTGAGATGGAATTAATATCTGGAGTTACCAATTTGCTCTTGCATGAATACAAACATGAGCTGGCAGGGAATTTACCATGTCAGAGCTCGAGAATATTTATCAAGTTGGAAGACTACAACAGATAACACCCAAGTAGACTCATGCCACATGTGGCCTGTGGATGGAACATGAGGGGAAACAGTTATTCCTTCCACAGGGCCCCCTACTTCGAGTTAGACTTGGAAAAGTAACGGTCTATCTAGTTAGGCGTTGACTGCAGTTAAAATATGAACTTCAACTCCTAGCGCTTACAAAGGTATACTGCAGAATTCGAAGGAGACTTGTCCCGTGGCTCTCGAGGGCCCGAGCTCCCCATCCCATCCAATCTCCTTCTGGATCAAGGCCAGACATGACCCTGAGAATATCGAAATTGACCTCGACAGGTCTTCGGCTTCAATTCGGTTCTGTTGTATGATGCATGACCTCAACAGGAGGGGTTGTTCTCCTCAAACTCAAAGGCCGCTGTTGGATGCTTTCTACACTGTCACCCCCCATGATCTCATCTTCTTGATATGGAAAGGGGACGACAGCGGCAGGGGAAGCTACTTCATTTGGGGCAGGCCCCAGACGTGCTCTTCCTTGGTATATAATTGATCCACTGCCTTTCATCCATTCCAGTTTTATTGACATCAGGTGAGAAAGTAAAACCGCTTTCAAGTTCATCCAACATTGACGATTCACTTCAACTTTTGATTCTTATATTTCGTGGCACGTCCAGTACCTCTTATTTCCTTATGGGAAAAAATCTTCATCCAAGTTGAATTAAAGTAAGCATGCCACATTGTATCCCTTCAAGCCCTTTTGTTGTCTGATCTTGAAAATCTAGATCTCTCTAGTCCTTGAAATTAGAAACGTTCCATGAAGGAACAATCATGTGGGGAAAGAAGGGCCTGCTTAGAAGATTTCAAAAGGCCTAACTTTTCACATCACAAAGTCCAGGAACAAGGAAAGCCCGGAGTGCATGCTAGTGTCAGTGTGGCTCAAATAGCTAAAGGAACAACTATTAGGAGAAATTGAAGAAGAGGCACTGCCAGCTAGGTATAGATATCTCCTCCAAGGCAAGTGGCCGCCAAGGTACGGCCACTTGAAATGCGTACTTTGAGGTGAATAGTATCTAGGGCTAGCAGGCTAGGTTGTCTTCTCCCAATCAGCTCACCCCTCCCCAGACCTAAAGGAAAGGGAAGAAAGAACATAATCCAAGTTTGTACAGATGGAACAAGTACAGGGAATCAAGAGGAGGCGAGGAGGAGACTGGCAGCTTTCCATCTTCCACCTCTAACAAAAACGTATAGCTTGGAATCCTTCCATTTTCTTGTCTTTCAAGGTATACACATCTCAAGTTAAAGATACCAAGGTAGAGGAGCATTATACAATCATACCTCACATAATATGATGATGCAATTCATGTAAAGTGAGATTCAGAAAAATTGTTTTCCAATGAATTGAGGATCTACGCCATGTATCTAGGTATGAACCACCAATAAACTACATATCAAGGTATATATCAATAATTATTGACAGGAATAAGAACAAATCTCTTTTCTTTGACATTACCCTAAGGGAAAAGAACTTCCAGGCTGATATGGGTAATCAGATCTGCGCTCAGCACTAGGCTGGTCTTCGAGTCCTCCTTTTCCAGAGCTGCATACAGGGAATTGTAACTTATGAATTTAATTGTCACATCTCCAAAGTCCAAAGTACAAGTTGAAAACCAAACCAATGGCACATACCTTGAAGTCTGAGTAGAGGAATTCGCCACAGAAGAACCACTATATTTACTAAGGACTTCTTTGTTTAGTTCACCTACCAGCTTACCCAAATTTTTGAACTGGGCATTGTAATTCGTTCCCCCTTCTTCGACAATGTAGTCCTCGACGCTGCAAATTACCAATGGATCAATTAGAACACTCAGAACGTTACAAATAAAAAAAAACGGAACACTCAGAACGTAGTCCCTTCTTCAACTAGCAACGGAAGGGGAAAAAGATGCTTTCTCCTTGCACTGGTTTAGGGGTCATAAGGGAAGAGCTGGAGGATTTTTGATGTAAATAAAAAGAAAGAAAAAAAGAAAGGAACTTACCTTAGCTCAAGATGAAGAGGCTCGTTATCGCCATCCCTAAGTGTATCTATAAGCAGCTTATTGTTCATTGCAAGGCACTTCACCAACACTTTTTTGGAGCTCTTCTCAGGCTTTGAATACACAAAGGCATAACTATCCTCAAATTCATTCCAATGATCAATCCCTACCTCATCTACTCAAAAGAAAGAGACACAAATACATATGATGCATCCTAATCATTCCTAATTACACAGAAGTTATCCGAAATAACCTGAAAATCTCAAAAACAAACTGCAAAAGAAAAGGTGGAAGCGAAAATAATGGCATATCAACAGAAACTGAAGCTTCCAATAATCATTGACACCAATGCAGATGTACAAAGGAACAAGAGTTTAATCAAGGCAGATACTCCTCTTTCCTCTGTTTTAACCAGATACGGACAGACTAAAATGCAGTAACCTCTTCTGGATCTTGTTTCTCTATAAAGTTCCTCTATTCATTTTTATCAAAATAGTAAAATTTCTCAATTCTAGTCTTTAGGAATAAGAAATAAGTAAAGCACGGCTCAAAACTCGTGGATAAATGGGCCTGATAGCATCAAGGACAAGGATAGAGTTTTGGATGCTCCAAGGCCATTTACAAGATCTCAAGCTAAAGAGTTGCACTCTAAGGTTGCTGGACTTCAATGGCAAATAAAGAAGCTTTTAATTGTAGAGGAAGAGCTCAAGCCCAAAGTAGATGAATTATCCAAGTTTTACAATTATTTGGTGATCCAAATTGAAGTCCAAGAGGAGGAAGATTGGGCCACCAAATCAGCCCTTGAAGTCCACCAAAGGGGCTCAAAATGAGCTTAAAAGAGGTCCAAAGGGGGTGTTTCAAAGGAAGCCCAATTGGAGTCCAAATCAATGGCCCAAACTAGTAGTTTTAAGGTCCAAATCGGCCCCAAAGGGATTTGGCCGCCCCCCACCTAATTGTAATGACTTTCCCTACCTAATTGTAATGACTTTTTATGCCTTAGCAACCACCCTACCTAATTTTAAGGACTTTTTGTGCCTTAGTACTCCTATAAATAAGGAGTTCTTCTCATTCATTGAGACACTTCATTATTGATTAAGTATATCATACTTTGAGAGTTCTTTTGAACCTTTGTTACTTGTGCTTTGAGATTTATCTTTCAACCTTTACTAGTTCATAGTTCAAGGTAGTAAGATTACTTCTCTATTGTGATATCTTTGATTTCTTTGTGGTATTCTTAGAAGGCGATTAATACTAGTTATTAATTGTTGTCTCAAGTTACTCGTAAAGCGGTCAAGATCCGAATCTATTGTTTTGATTTGCTTTTAAGTAAAGGCGTTTGATTTCTTCAATAAATCAAGACATTGTTACTTTGATCTTGTCAAGGCTATAGAACTTGCGTTCTTGGAAGTTCTTGGAATTCTTTCCTTGAATTTTCCCATATCCTTTATTTTCTGCCCTTTAGTTCTAGTTGTTCAATTCCTTATTGTTATTGCTTCCGCATTTACTTTTCAAATTCTTACTCTAGTTTGGATTCCCGACCTTGTCGTTATCAAGTGGTATCAGAACGGTTCTATCAAGGTTTCGTTCTTGATAATTCTGGGGATTTCTTGAGTACTAAGAGCGGAAAAAAAAAGTAAAAAAAAAAAACAAACAAAAAAAACGAAAATCAATTTTAAAAAAAAAAATTGCTTGCTCTCTAGGAACTTTCTTTTGTA